ACAAAGACACAACTAAGAAAGAAAACTACAGACCAATATCCCTGATGAACATCGATGCAAAAATACTCAATAAAGTACCGGCAAACTGAATTCAAGAATACATCAGAGAAATCATTCACCATGACCAAGTAGACTTGCTCCCTGGAATGCAGGGATGGTTTAACATACGAAAATCTATCAACGTGATCCACCATATAGACAAACAGAAAAAGAAAAACCATATGATTATCTCCCTAGATGAGGAAAAAGCCTTCGACAAAATTCAACACCCTTTCATGATAAAGGTCTTGGAGAGGTCAGGGATAACAGGAACATACCTAAACATAATAAGAGCAATATACAGCAAACCAACTGCCAACATCAAACTGAATGGAGAGAAACTTAAGCCAATTCCTCTAAAATCAGGAACAAGACAAGGCTGTCCTCTCTCTCCATATCTCTTCAATATTGTACTAGAAGTTCTAGCTAATGCTGTAAGACAACAAAAGGAGATCAAGGGCATCCAAATTGGAAAGGAAGAAGTCAAACTGTCTCTATTTGCAGATGATATGATAGTTTACATAAATGACCCAATAAACTCTACTAGGGAACTCCTACAGCTGAAAAACACCTTCAGCAAACTAGCACGATACAAGATAAACTCAAAAAAATCAGTAGCCCTACTTTTTTCAGACGACAAAGAGACAGAGAAAGAAATCAGAGAAACATCACCCTTTACAATAGCCACAAGCAACATAAAGGATCTTGGTGTAACGCTTACCAAACAAGCAAAAGACCTATATAATAAGAACTTTGTGACTCTAAAGAAAGAAATTAAAGAAGATACCAGAAAATGGAAAGATCTCCCATGCTCTTGGATAGGTAGGATAAACATAGTAAAAATGGCAATCTTACCAAAAGCAATCTACAGATTCAATGCAATCCCCATTACAATCCCACCACAATTCTTCACCGACCTTGAAAGGATAATAATCAACTTTATATGGAAAAACAAAAGACCCAGCCAAAACAACCCTATGCAATGAAAGAACTTCAGGAGGCATCACCATTGCTGACTTTAAGCTCTACTACAGAGCTATAGTTCTGAAAACAGCCTGGTATTGGCATAAAAAATAGACAGGTAGACCAATGGAATCGAATTGAAAATCCTGATATGAATCCACACACCTATGAATACCTGATTTTCGACAAAACAGCTAAAATTATACAATGGGGCGAGGACAGCATCTTCAACAAATGGTGCTGGCACAATTGGATGAGGGTGTGTAGAAGACTGCAGATAGACCCATGTCTCTCGCCATGCACAAAACTCAAGTCCAAATGGATCAAAGACCTCAACATCAATCCAGCCACATTGAACCTCTTAGAAGAGAAAGTAGGAGGTACCCTTGAACAAATTGGTATAGGAGACCGCTTCTTGAACATAACTCCAGGGCACAGACACTGAAAGAAACAATTAATAAATGGGACCTCTTCAAACTTAGAAGCTTCTGTAAGGCAAAGGACACAGTCGACAAGACCAAACAGCAGCCCACAGACTGGGAAAAGATTTTCACCAATCCTATATCCAACAAAGGGCTGATCTCCAAAATATACAAAGAACTCAAGAAACTAGTCAACAAAACACCAAATAACCCTATTCAAAAATGGGGTACAGAACTGAAGAAAGAATTCTCAATAGAAGAAATCAAAAAGGCTGAAAGACACTTAAGAAAATGTTCCACATCCTTAGCTATCAGGGAAATGCAAATCAAAACAACTTTGAGATACCATCTTACCCCTGCCAGAATGGCTAAAATTAGAAACACCAGTGATGACTTATGTTGGAGAGGATGTGGAGAAAGTGGAACACTCCTCCACTGCTGATGGGAGTGCAAACTCATACAGCCATTTTGGAGATCAGTATGGCAGTTCCTCAGGAAAATGGGAATTAGTTTACCATAGGACCCAGTAATCCCCCTCTTAGGCATATACCCAAAGGATTCACATCCATGCAACAAAGACATCTGTTCAACTATGTTCATAGCAGCACTATTTGTAATAGCAAGAACCTGGAAGCAACCTAGATGCCCCTCAATTGAAGAATGGATAATGAAGATGTGGCACATCTACACAATGGAATACTACTCTGCAGAAAAAATAATGGTATCTTGAAATTCGCAGGCAAGTGGATGGCACTTGAAGAAACCATCCTGAATGAGGTAACCCAGTCACAAAAAGAGGAACACAGTATGTACTCACTCATATATGGATTTTAGACCTAGAGCAAAGGATCACCAGCCTATAATTCACATCACCAGAGGAACTAGGATACAAGGTGTATTCTAAGAGATTCATATAAAGTCCCTCACAGAACTGGGAAGGAACAAGTCCCCCAGAGCTCAGGTGAAGTGGGGTGGGGGCAGCGAATGGAGAGAGAAGTAGGAGAAAATGAGGGGGAAGAAAGGAAAACATGTGCGACCAGGAAGATTGAGCCTGGTTAGGAATAGAAGATAGGAAAGAGAGAGACAGAGACAGAGAGAGAGAACATAAAAGAGGGAACCAATATTGGTTTGAAGATAAAATTGAACACAAAGAAAGGTCTAGAGAACTACAAGACTGCTCCCATCTAACAATTTGAGCTTCTGTGGAAAGGCTATCATAAATGCCCTTCCCGGAGAGTGAGATCAACAACTAACTTCTCCACGGAGCCCTCAACTAATGCTGTTGAAAACAGGATCAAACACACATACATAAACACTGAGTCGACCTAGAACCCAGATGCAGATGGAGAGGACAAGACCATGCGGCAGAAACATATACAGACAGCTTACCTGAACAAGGAGGAGCTAAAGACCACTAGACTGATAGCTGGGAAGCCAGCATGGGACTGACTCAGGCCCCCCTGAATATGGGCCTCAGCCAGAAGGACTGAACAGTCTAAGAGACCTCAGACAGTGGAGCCAGGATGTATCCCTGGTGCACAAAAGGACTTTGCAAACATATCCCCCATGGAGGGATAACTGCCTTAATCTAGAGACAGGAGAGAAGCCCTATTCCCTACTTCACATGACCTGTCAGATCTACATGACCCCAACTGGATGGCATTCCCCTACATATGGAATTGGGGTGGGGGGATGGGAGGGGAGGGTGGTTAGACTGCATGTGAGAGGGCAGAGAGGGTAAAAGGGAGGGATGGAGGAAAGAAGGGAGGGAGGGAGGGAGGGGTATCTGGGATCAACACGTAAAATAATAAATTAAATTAAAAAAAAGGCTTTGACTCCAAAATTTAAGGTGAAGGACAAGTTCCTGGGGAAAAGGATTTCTATTTTTGTTTCCACAGAAAATGAAAAGATGTGGATTCCTTCCAGACTAATGTGGTTTGATCATACCAGACCGCCTGAAACAGAGTACCAGGTAATTCTACATTCAAAACAGCTGGATAAAGCAGCCTTCCAGACTACAGCCAGGATTTCTGTATCTTCTTAGAATCCCCCATGACAGCACCCCTTACTAGCAGGAAGTAGTTTGGAAAGAACAACGCCCAAATTCCCAAATATTGTCTATAAATGTTTGTTTTCATTTAATTGGACTTTGTTATATAAAATAAAATAAATTAATAAAAAACAGAATTTTTGATATTTGTCAAATCTATGAATGACAAATGGAAAATCAATGTTACCTAATGTGAAATCTGCAGTCCATGATAAGTTTAATAATTTAAAAAGCATCTCAGTTAATGTAACGATGGGAACTATCCTCTGTGCAAGGATAGCAATATTTGCACTAACTTTGTAGTGTTGAGGAAAACTATCAAAGTGGGTTGTCTGAATTCAACATTGTCTACCATACAGTAATTATGTGGCCACTGGCATAGTCACCAAAGATTTTCAATGAAACTCATTTTCCTCATCTGGAATATTAACATATGGATAACAATAGCATTTATATTACAAGGTTGTATTAGGAATGAGTTAATACAGCAGTGAGAACAATGCTAAAGTACATATTGTGAAATGCAAATTATTAACATATAGCAGCTGAAAAGATCTAAAGATATTAAATATCTATAGTACTGAAATTTAATCTCATAATAAATTGTCAATTGCAGAAGTCTTGTTTCTTTTTACAAACATAACTTAATCATAATGGGATAAAATGTAGACCTTTCCTAAATTATAAGACTCAAAGAATAAAAGCTTTTGCTGAAAGCAGAGATTCTTATACTCAGAATGGAAATTATCACTAGGTGGTTGTGACATTAAAAAGGCCACTCCGGTTCTAAACCATTCTCATTTTATTACTGTAAGTGGTTCAGATAAAGCACTTAACAAATTTCTGAGAAATATACTTTCTCCTGCCACAGATCTTATTTATACATAAGAATGTTACTACTGAGGCTTAAAATTTTAACTTTTAGAGGTCTACTTTTCTTATTCAACACTACTGTGTTATTCTAGAATGATTAAAAAGTGAAAATCTCCCAAAGCCTGCAAGCTATGCTCTGAATGACATATAGTCTAGTTTTATAAGCAATTCTTGGCAGTCTCTATTTTCTATTCACTATTTTCTTTGTTCTAAGAAATCTGTAATTTTACTGAGAAAAATGTTTAACAAAAATGGGAATATGGCTCCGGTCAAGTGCTTGGTAAATTTGATTTCCAGAGCCATGTTTTAAAAAAAAAAAAAAATCAGATGCATTAGTTTGCACCTACAATCCAACCAATAGGGTGCTAAAGACAGGAGGATCCTGGGAGTTTGATGGCTAGCAAGTAAGCCAAGTCAGTGAGTTCCAGATTCAGTGAGAGACTATCTCAAAGAATAATGTGAAAGGTAAATGATAAGGAAGATTGATATGGACCTCTGGCTTACATACATACACATACACACACACACACACACACACACACACACACGATTGCATACACAAACGAGAATGCTAGCAATACCAAATGCCCATAAAAACTACTGTTCTGAAAATGTTTGCAAGCCAATGATACTAATTCAACTTAAGAACTTACCAAAGGTTATAATATCCGTGCCACTAACAGAGTCATAGTCTTCACTTGCTGCATTAAGATCAACACATTCATTCTGGAATGTACAGGAAAATATTTAGAATAAAATGAAAGGTGATTCATTTTATGCTGCTTACTGTAGAATATAAACAAAGCAGAGAATGTTTAGTTTTAATACATTTATTTAACAATAATATGTAATTCTCATGCATGAGAAACAACTATTTAAGCAAGGAAGCAGAGAGTAACCTTGAATCTAAAATTGTAGTCTCTAAAAGTGAAAGATAGACTAGAAACTGAAACCCTAAGAAATAATATAGTTTCAGACTACATAAGGCAACGGTAAATGTGGTGGTTTGAAGAAGAATGGCCCTCACAGACTCTTGTACTTAAATGCTTGGTCACCAAGGAGGGGTACTATTTGAGAAGTATTAGGAGGTATGGCCCTGGTAAAGTAGGTGTATCCATGTTGGAGGAAGTATGTCAACAAGGGTGGACTTGGGGTTTCAAAAGCTATGTCAGACCCAGTTTCTCTCTTTCCACCTCTCCTGGCCTATGGTTCAGGATGTAGCTCCCAGCTACTGCTCCAATGCCCGCCCTCCTCCCTGCCATGATGATAATGGACTAGGCCTAGAAACTATAATCAAGCCCCTAAATGTTTCCTTTGTAAGACTTGCTTTGGTCATAGTGTCTCTTCACAGAAACAGAATAGTGACAAAGACAGTAAATTTCTAAGAAATTGACTTTATGATTGAAGTTAATGCATAAAGAAGGCAAAGTTTCAACTTGAGCTCTTCTACAATTTTTCCTGTAAACTGAAGCCCTTTGTCCTACTAAAATACATACAATAATTTAAAAGTTTTTCAAAACATTCTTACCTCATTCTAAGTATGCCAATACTATTAATCAGCAAAGCTCAACTTAACAGGTTTTACCAATTATCTTATTTGATAGAAAACAATAGCAACAAAAAGTATAAGAAAACATGTTCAGCTTAAGCAGACTTCATTCCAATCAAACATTTTTTATTTCTAAGGACTTCATGTGTAGTGTTCCCAAAAGAACATACAGATGTCACTAAGATGAGCATTTTACTGTACTTGAGGCAAGCTTTACATATTAATACCTTTTTAGACAAAAGCATCTCTGTTTCAAGAAGAGTGACTCGACTTAGGAGATTATTCCAGGCCTTCTCATCCACCATCACTTTCCCTTTTGTTGTAGCTTCCAGACACTCAAGCCTTTTCTCTACCCAAGTCAGCTTCTTAAGCTTTTCTTGGCATTCAGCAAGCGCAATCTGAAGTGCAATAATCTCAGGATTATCACATATATCCTAAAATGACAAACAAGATTTTAGATGATATGACGTGACATTCCTTTTTAAAGGAATCAATGCACTTCTATTTTCTTTGTGCTATTCTGTAGCTAAGGAACACAGGAGTTCCCCTGTTGACAGCAGTGGGCCTTATCATGAGGCTGCTAGATGTGGTTTTGATGATTTCATTTTCTCAGCAGCCACCTGTGAATTAACCTGCATGATGCTCTTAGATTAGGCAGTACAATTCAACTATCATTAGCCAGTTTCTTAGACAACTCTACTACAAATCCAAGAGGAAATAAGCAAATGACAATGTGCTGATTTCCTAGAGTGTCATATACTAAAAAGTAGGCCCATAAATAAAATTTCATAAGTCCACAATGCATAAAAATCACAAGACATTAGCATTTTAGCGAAACCAGGAGGGATTATATACACAATGGTATTTGTGTCAACAAGAAGCAATGGAAAAGACAGGACAGCCACCACACAAAATGCTAGGCAGGGGTTTATTGCAAATGCAAAGCCACTCTGGACTATATACTGAGAACATACGCCTTGGGGAAAATATAGCGAAGACTCACCAAAGAGAAAATGGGAATGGCAAGCTTTTCTATTTACCAACAGAGGAAACTGTGATAGAAAATGCCACTATGCAAAGTGGCACATCACCCATGCTGGATTGTAATTTCCCTGGTGTATACCAACTCTCATTTCTCTTTGCTTTACTTCTAACTTGAGAGGAAAACTCTAAACAAATCTTGATAACTGGAATCCATTGAATCACATTTAGTAAGATTGTGTGACTCTTAAGTAATAACATAGATGTCATAATTTAAGAGTTCAGAAATATTGCAACTTTCAAACCCTGAAATAATTGTGGATACCAAATAAGTCTGTTAAAAAGGTCCTCAGCCCTTACTTTTAGCTCAGCCTTGACTTCAGAGGCCTGCTCATCAGCAATCAGCACTTCAGAGCTCTTCCCTTTTGAATCATCACACCCTTCACTCACTTCTGTTGAACACACTGTCCCTTCGGGAATGTCAACATTATCTTCGGTGTACAGGTGACGGATCACTACAGCTTTCTTCTGCTGAAGGACAAGCATGGAAGAACTACTTCATTGGTTTTTCTGCACAATTATGTATACTCACAACAGTTCTCTAGACATTTACATTTTGTAATGTAAATTAAATGTAATGTAAATTAAAAACATTTACATTACCACATACAATGTATCACAATGTAACATGCTAATATTAATATTAATGTACCTGTGAAACTGTGGTTCAGTTTTTTTTTTTTAAAGCATTCTTATGTCTTAGGTTAAACACAAAATATATTTTAAAGATATCTAGGTTTGTTTCAATATGCTGGAGAAAAGTGGGTATAGTAAAGATGCATGAGGATTAGAAAGGATTTTATTAATTGTTGAAACAGGATGATCCGTGCTTTTGTAAATGTTTGAAATGTTCCATGATATAAAGTTAAAAACAAATAAACAGAGAAAAAGAAAGTATTAGGTGGGATAGTACACAATTATTATCCCAGCACTCAGTAAGCCCAGGCAGGATTATAAGGTCCAGGCCAGCCTGAGCTATATAGTGACTCTGCCAATAAACAAACAAATAAAAGTTGTGACATAATTTACAAGTAATCAACTAGTTGTATGAGGACACATTGTAATTTTTTCCTATTGAACAATATATGTATGTACGTACGTATGTATCCACCCTCAGCCAAATATCCAAAATACTAAAAAGGGTTAAGTACTAACAAGGACCCCACTAACCGTTTACCCCACTGCCTTTCTGCTTATGTATTGTCTGTACAGACACTGAAAACCCTAACATGAGATAAAGAAGTCATAAACTGCATCCACAGGAGAGGAGGTCTCAGGAAGAAGACAAGTTGCTTCAGCACTGACTCAACTTCTGTGTCAACTAAGAAATAATTTATAAATTTATTGCTTTGTAGCAGTTATTCAAGTTCTTGGTACTAAAGCTCTACTAGTCATGTATTTTGGATTAGGTAATAAATAATTCTATGTATTTTACTTTATTCAGAAAGAATTTATATCTTTATCTAATTACACATTGTTTATTCATCTGTACTCTTGTCCTCTCACCTAGAAAGAAAATAGCTGGAAGTACATTAATTATTACAATGGCATTTTGGCTTAGAGCTCCCCTTGGATATGGAAAAAATCCCAACTCTAAATGTATTGGATTCACTTAACCACAGATGCTCAAAGCTGACAAAGGCAGAGACAATCTATACCTAATAATAAAGAATACTCAAAACCAGATTATTATATAATCTATATTTTTGGTTTTCAATGCATCTAAATGAATCATCATACCCACTCTTGTTACTAATGGGTTACGATTACATATGCAACCCTTTTTATTGATGATCAGGTATGTAATTAAGAGTATATGTTGAGAGGCTGGAAAGATGGCTCAGGTTAAGAACACTTGAGACACAGGTTTGAATTCCAGCACCCACATGGAGGCTTACAATCACCCATGACTCCAGTTCCAAGGAATATGACATTCTCTTCTGTTCCCTTCTGGTACACAGACATAAAATTAAAAGAAAAAACATAAACACACATAATTTTTAAAAAGTAGATGTCAATGTGTCCACAATATAACCTTACTAAACTTTATCTGGGAAATAAAAAATAATTCAAAGTTAGAAATAGTAAGTCTGTTTGAGTTTTCATTTTTCACTCTTCTGCTAAGACTATTTGAGGGGAGGAGAGGGGGTAATAAGAGAGGCAGTGGGGGTAGATATGATCAAAGTACTTATGTAAAGAAATAAGATAAACTAATATGTACTAATGAAAATGCCTTGTATGTTGTGGTATCTGACTACAATGTTTCACCAAATGCCAGTCAGAGAAATGAATCTTAAGATAGGCTTCTGCGCCTAATTCACACCTTTCCTGAGGTCATAACCCTGCCACTGATGTCAATGCCAATGGCCTGTGCAGGGGGGTTCTCACTGCTCCAAGGTTCTGGCTTTTCAGAGATGCTCTTCTTTCTTTGGCATGATGGAGTCTAGGAAAGGAGAGCAATCACACAAATTAAGACATTTCAGAGAAGTATGATATACGTTTAGTTTCCATTATTTCATACTCATTTTTGATAATAGCGAGTTGAAAGTGATGAAACATGCTTTTGCTTATATGTTTATTGTAAATTAAAGGGAAGCTGGTATGGTGGTGCCCTGATCTCATACTTAGAACTATGAGGAAGGATAGTTGAGGCCAGCTTTAGTTACACAGAAAGTCTGAGGTCAGCCTGGGCTACATAGTTGAAAACAAACAAGAAAATAAAACAAAAACTTCTAAAAGTGACAAAAATACAGTATCTTTGAACTGTTAATTTAGTTCCAAGTTACAGATATATAAGACATGTAATTAATGTCAGAGAAATGGTGATTCTTGAGAGGGTTATATGCTATATGTGAATAATGTAGCAACTATGGCATCCGATATGTGAGCTGAACAGAACAATGGCATTTAGAATTAATTAACTAGGTGCTTATGGCCTTGGCCAGGTACAGACCATAGGACATTCTGGTATTGCAGTGACCTGTTTTCTGCAGGAAGCTAGCTGAGACATACATACTTCCTGTAGAGAAGATTCTGAGATGTAAAAGTTTGGAAGGAAGGCTCTTCAGCATCATCTCTATCATTTTACACATTCACATCCCTTCAAATTCCATCTTGGTACTAAACAACCCATGTCTAACCTTAGTTGGTAGAAACACCTTTGATATTTCCACAAAATTCCACAATATGCACACAGCATTAACACAGGAATTCCTTTCAGTGCATGCAATGCTCTCATGCCTAAGTGTCTGGGGTTTCACCTACCAAGCTTAGCTGCCCACTCCCATCCCTGAAGAAAGGGACTAATGCTTTTGCTTTGATAAATCTGTTACTATGCTTAAGTCTCTTCTATGTCTGCCTTTGAATTCTTAGAGTCTAATGAGACAAAGAGCTTCTGGGTCCAGCAAGTCCAGTGACAATTGCGTTTTTGAATAACTCACTATTTATTCAAATATTAGAGTATTTAGCATAAGTTAGCACTGAAATCTACTCATAAAATCACCTTGTCAGAGCCAATCAATTCTTTGTGCTTTTTCATCACACAATTCAATATGTCACAGGCAATTTGGATTTTCCATTCTGCAAATCCAGACTGTATAAACTGCTTTTTTGTCAAGATTGGTTTATAATCAAATTGATCCCGAAGAAGCTGTGAAGAAAAAAAGGTAGTATTCATTTAAATCAAAATTATATAGCCACCTGTTTGGAGGGTATCTTTGAGAGCAAGTCATTAAGTAAAGGTACTAAAATTACAGAACTGGTATTGAGTTACAATAGAGATGAGAAACAGATTGCCAAGGATATGCCAGAGGCGGGGGAGGGGGGGAGTACGAGAGACGAGAGGGGGAAAAAGGGAGAGAGGAAGAAAGGGAGAAAGGGAGAGAGCACTTCAGGATAGTCAGAGCTGCACAGTGAGACCTTGTCTGGAAAAAAGAAAACACACATACACACACATATCACAAGTCACAGTACTTGACCAAAATTAATGGTAAGTGTTAAGGTTTTTAAAAGTCAAAATCAACTGAAATCAAAGTCAGTCTCCATTCAGGTGTCTAGATGCTACTGCAGATAAGAGACCTGGTTTCTTTCTCAGTGAACAAACTATGGAAGTTTCTATTTGTATCTCACAAGTCAGTTAATGCAGAGGTCTGTGGACTATATGTTTTCTCTTGATCCTCCAGTACATAAACTGTTACTAAAATTTCATAGAAAGCAGGCAAATTATAGCCAGTGACAAATACTTACCAGTTGCCATAATTATAAAACATTGCTAAAGCAAACAAGAATTGCAACTTAATTTCAATAGAGACCACATTTTAACAAGATACACACTTATAAAAATACTCTGCCAACTAAACATACATGTAACACATGACAACATGATAGTGGCCCTAGATTATAATGAAGCTTTCTTCTATTGCCTAGTATTTTAATTATATTATTTGCATATTTAAAAACACAAATATTTATATTATAATATAATTCACACTATATACAGAACAGAAACATGTTACAAGTTTGCAGTCCAGGAGCAACGGGCTATGTATATAGACAACATCTAGGTCTGTGCAAGCACACTCTGATATTTGCCCAATGGCAAAATTGCCCATCAATGCATTTCTCAGGATGTACACCACAGTTAAGTGAACATGCAATTGTATTTTGATAAGTATTACTAAAGCATTGATTTTAAAAATCATTCAATAGTTTCTCAAGTAATTACTGTTTCATAAACTCAAAATACCTTATAGACGGTATCTGTGAAGCGTACGTCATTCTTTGCTATGAGCTCTATATTGGATTCCATCAGAAGCTCTGATATATAAGGGGAGTATGAGGTAAGAGAATAGCTAATGATGGGCAAAGATGCTGCTGTGTCCCCCTTCATCAAACTGTCAGGGAAAAGGGAAAAAGACTTCATTAGACAGCTCCCAAAGTTGCGTGATTAAGGACAATTAGCAATGCTGTCAATAATTTAGTTGTTACAGATACAATAATGAAGCAATGTATGACTCTCCGGATTGTATCTCCCACTCTAAAACACCCTGATCTGACTATGAAACAGTACTGTTCATTTTCATGTTCCCAAAACCTCACTATAGCTGTATAGTCATCTCCTACAGTTTTTAATGGTTTTCTAAAGTTTATTCTAACCTGATCTATTTTATTTCTCTTATTAATACAAAATATCACCCTACAATTCTCAAGAATATTTATGTTTCTGTAACATTCATTACATTAACTTGTTTATTCCTACACAAACCTGCAAAGATTAATCACATGAACTCTAAGTTACAAATGAGGAACACAATGGCTTATGCTGTGATTAGACATCCACCTTCTGCTTTCTTAAGAACTATGCCATTTTAGCTTGTGTTCATGTCTGAGAGAGTATCCTACACATTGTCTTTCTTCTTTACGACTCATTAGTTAAATGCTGATTTTCATGAAGCCATCTTCTGTCTAATCCATATTTAATTCTCAGTATTGGGTGCCTCATGCTGTCTATTTCTAATTGTCTACTTTTTTACTGGTGTAAAATGCCTCTTGGGCAAAGAACTGTCTCCACCTTGACCACTGATTTGGACATGCAGTCCTAAGTGCTTGCAGGAGACAAATATAAAAGACTACTGGATCTTGCCAAGTCAGGGTAAGACAGCCATTCTACCTCCCTGCTGTTGTTGTGGTTTGTCAAGTTCTCTTGGCCTTAGCCAAAACTGGGTGTACCAACACTGCTGTGAGAACTAGGTGACTGTCCAGGTGGCTTGCTGTTTCTGTCCTTGCTGCACCTTTTGAAAGTTGCCCATCCGCACTTCCTGTCTACCCTAGTATCATTATTTTCCTTCTCAGGTCTTGATGAGGTTAAAGATTAAACTATCACAACTATTATTCTGTCTTCCTAGTTAGATATATTAGGTACTAGACTTACGTTTTCCAGCTTAGGACAACTCTGTTGTAAACTCCGTTATGCCTTCACCCTAGGACTAGATATGTAGGTTATTTTGTTCTCAATTTTCCTTTTCTTAGAGCACACTTGTTATTCACTGTTTTGTATATAGTTTTATATTAAGCCTAAATCTTTTCTTTTGACTAAAAGGAAAATTGTAGTGAGATAGTCATTCTGTAGCACTGACCACGCTCATTGGGTGGATGCAACCTGTGAAAGGAGGTCTGAGGAAGAGCTGGGGAAAAGCGCACTTGCTGGCGGGACTCAGACAGGAGAGCATCCGGTGGAATTTCCTAGTGTTCATCTGTCTAGGTTGTAAGTTATTTCTCCCTGAATAAACATCTATTCGGCCTATTTGTTTATCCTGATCCTTATTTAACTGTGATACCTCCCCATCTCAACCCCAAAGTTTTAAAAAAGTTTTTAAATATATATTTCTGTGTGTGTGCAACACATGTGTACATGCCCATTAGCGTAGACAGATATAAGGCACCTGTGAGTTATGAGAATTAAACTGTATATACATCAGTCTAGATACTGTCTCCGTATAATTTTAAACTCACTGGAATATAATGGATTTTATTAATTATATAGCCTACCATTCTCTCATTCCACAGAATAGATTTTTATATAGCCAATATGATCACAGATGTTAACCATTTTAATGGTTATTTCTTTGTGTATTCAATGTAGAGAAGATAGATTTTATACATTTACACCATGTGTTTTGTTAGTATAGAAGATTCCAATTAGTGAGACATCGCATGGCTTTAAAAATCTTATTAAAAGGCTCAGTGGTTAAGAGCATCTGCAGCTCTTCCAGAGAAACAGTTTGATTCTCAACATACTAGCACATACACTCTGGTGCACGCATGGAGAGCAGGGGAGCTGGTTCTCCAGTTTCGATGTGAGTCCTGGGAATTCAAGTCCACGTCATCAGGTCTGGCAGCCTTTACCAATTTGCTAGCCCAAGAGTGAATTTAGAAAGGGTCCATTCAAACTCTTTATGATCATTTCACACTTTATGTTCATGGCACACACTATCTTAAACTTCTGGCAAAACAAACAAACAAAAAACCCAAAATAACATAAATAGTTTTCAAATACCAAATGTATTATAGCTTACCCAACATAATCCACATCATTAGGGTAATTTAGCAAACGAAGCACTTGTTCTAGTTTCCGCAAGCTTCTTTTTAAGTCACCTGTTGCCATTATTGAATATTAGATTCAGCTCCAGCTCTTAAACAATCTTATAACTTCTCATCTGAAATTAAATGATGAAGAACTGGTTGGATGCACGCTTTGGGAAGCTGCCCCGCTCTACTCTGTACGTGCTCCCCCACTCCTGTTCCAGCATATCTATGTCACACTACTTCTACATCTCAGAGCTGAGCACACTGCTTACTGCACGGTACTGACTGTGAACCCTAAATGTGTTTCATCTAGCACTCTCCCAAATAGTTCACCTTGAATGATAATGGACTATAATAGTTACTTTCATGCTGTGACCAAATACCTAACAGAAGGACACTCAGTGGAAAAGTGGCTCCTCGGTTCAAAGCTTCAGGGGATAGGGACCCTCTTGATACGGAAACCATGGTGCTAGGCATCTCCAAGTTGGCAGGAGGGGAGTGTGTGGTGGCTAGCTCACATTAATTCAGACTAGAGGACAGGACAGCACAGAAGTGGGGTCAGGCTATCATCTCAAGGCACCTTCACTCCCTAGGCTACTTCCCTAGATAGGTTCCTATCAAATATTCCACAATCTGTCAAATTAGCACCCCAAACTAGAGATCAAATGATCAATTATATGAACCTATGGAGGACACTTTACAGCCAAATCATAGCTGGTACCATTTGGAAAAACATATCAAGCTGAAAGTCTCCATCGCCGGTAATACTGAAAGTTTATAAAAGCTATATAACTGATTAAAAAATGAAGACAAATTTAGCACAGATTTAGTTACTATCCCCAGGGCATGAATTCCATGTAGTTGCCAATCAGATGCTTGTCTTAAAAAACAAAACAAATTCATAGTTTACCAATATCTTATTCAAGAAAATTGTAAAAGTACCTTGAGATATAAAATTCTCTGAGAATGAAGTTCCTTTAAAATGAAATCACTGACATTGAAAAAAAAAAAAAAACAATTCAAGAATTAGATGAAATACACTTTATGTGATTTTGCCCACAGTGTATGTTTTAGCAACTATCCAACAATTAAATGGCCCCCTTCAGATACCTCCTATCTACATACATACATAGAGAAAAATAAACCTGGCAATTTCCAAAATTCTAAGCCTGTGCCACCTCCCATTTCCGTAGCCATTCCCCTAGATTTGGGCACCTTATTTTCTCTCTGTAGGAATACACTCTCATTTTTGTCTGCTCATCATTAACATGGTGAAGAACAATATGCTGAATATACTTTTAAGTACTCTTGCTTTGTGTCATGTAACATTAAATTACATTGGTTAGATATTAACACATTTAGGCAATGAGGATTTTAGGGAGGAAAAAAAAAAGGAAGTGATCCTAAAATAAAATTATACAAAATATTATTCACAACTATAAGCCTTATTTCATATTTTTCGAGATGCCAGGGCTAGGTAGGCATACAAAAGTGTTAAGACAAGACCGACTTCCCAGATCAACTTTTCTTGCCTAGAAAAGGCAATGTGGGAACTATTCTCATTTAACTAAAAACCTTGTTCCTGGAATTTAAGATTGCAGGTCTGATCTTATTTTAGTTTCCAGACCCATCTGACTTAACACAATTCTTTTCTTTCATTCATATCCCATCTTCCCAGGACATGTAATTTTATCTAATACTTTTTCTTGCAGAAATACATTTATCTTTACATTATGTCTACCTCCGGTAGTGATATTTCTGGCAATAAAGTATGCCTCGGTTTCATATCATCTTCACTACCAGCAGAATAAATATTTTGAAGAGTAAGACTGAAGTACAGCTTGGATCTGTAGGTGAAGGAGAAAAATGATATGACAGGAAAGAAAAACATGAAGACATTTAAAAAGATCATAGATAAATGTTTTCAAGGAAGGATTTCCCAGTTTTTAAAAAATTGTTAAGCACTAAAATTAAGATTACTAATTGAAGCCAATAAAATACTGATACATATTTACACTTGATCTTAGTCAAAAGGCCAAGCAGTAAATCTCTATGAATTTCTGAGATAAAAAACTTGTTACTTAAAAATAAAATTGATTTGCATTTTCACTATATCATTAATACATAAAGTAAATAAAGAGTGCAGGTTCAATCATTGAGTTCTCAATAGTCTACCTAGCTTTCCGGAGGGTTAGGAACAAACCAAATCTGTCAACTGAATTTCTGGAAAAGATTGGGAGAATGGCACAGCACGGATCTGATGGGGAGTGGGAAAGGAACCCAGGGCCTTGGAATACCACCCCGTGGCTCTACCACTGAGCTAGATCCCCAGCTCAGCAGTTTAAGCTTTTTCGTTTTAAACCTAGCTCATTCTCATAGTTGTTGCAGGTCTTTAAATACATTAGCTGTCACTGAACTCAAAAATAATTTTGTTCAGGATGAAGTAACTAGACTTTAATAATCATGGTGGATAACTAGGATTTTGAGATGCAGCGCGATATATCTAAAAACCAAACTTTTAGATAGAGGAATACAGATCTGTAGAAATTAAATAGAAAAAGTCTCTCAGTAACAGATACTAGGAAAATTCTTTTGTAAGAGAAAAGTTCTGACCGGGGAATTAAAAAAAAAAAAAAAAAAAAAAAAAAAAAGGAGTTAGCTAGGGCGAATGGGGGCAATGGTTCAATGGTACCGCTCGCTGCATTTGCATATAAAACTGTTTTTTTAAAAAATGCTTGCAAGCAATTCTGTAAAATAGTGTAGGGCAGCCATAAGTCTAGAATAAATATGTTAAGATTAGTTTTCTTTTTATATAGGAAAAAATCTCTAGTCCTCAAAGTAGATGGAGAATTATTCAAACTCAAGAAAATGAAAGCAAAGGGAACACGAAGAAGTACTTTTACTCTTCTAGCCAGTTTAGATGTATCCTTGACTGAAAAAACCAACGTGCCGTTAACTTGGCAGGCAGTATTAAGTCACAAACCAATTCTAAGAGGTGAACTAAGATTCTTCCTACTTGGTTGCCTCCCCAAACACCTACGGGCACATAGCAAGTCCCATTTAGGTTTACCCTCCTGGTCCTAGCTTTAGAAGGATGAAACAGCAGACCTGATCATTCGCTTACAACTCAGGAACCTCGGTGAGCACAGCATTCAGGTGACCTCTGTCCCAGCCAGAGCACAGCCTGTCCGCAAGTTCTGGCGCAGCCAGCAGCCTCCCAGCAGGAGCGGAGTGTTCCCCAGGCGACCGCACCAACACGGAAGCAGACCCGAGCATAAGCAACTCGAGAAAGTGGCGGGAACCAGGTGTCCAGCTCCAGAGCCCCAGAGCCCCAGCGCCCGCGCCCCAGGGCGCCTCTCGCGCCGACCGTTTGTATTCGGAACCGTGGGTTCGAGCGCGCCGCCAAGAGTGGCCAAACGTTCCGAGCCACGCGCGGCCCCACACCCTGAGATTCCTCGGTGCAGATTCCACACTCCGTTCGCGCGCCTTCCTCGGGAGACTTGTTTCCCATGAGAACCTTATCAATTATACGACTTACATTAAGTGTCATGTCTCAAACTGGCATGACTCTGGTGAACAATAGTCGTTCATCAGGAGAAACGAGAAATAAAGACCTTATGGCGAATCAGAAGCAGCGAAAGTGAAATCCTTATTCTTTGTGGGCCCGCTCCCCGACGTCACTTCCGGCAACAATAGGAAACGTCAAAAACTTGCACTGTCTGCCACTCCGGCTTCTGCAGGCTGAGGTGCTGTGAGTTCGCTGGCGGCTGCGGCTGTTTCTGGCACTCTCGCAGCCGTCGTGTTCTCCAGCGTGAACGCGTGCGTTCTGCACAGGCATCTCCATGGCTTGGGCATCAGTTCCCGGCTGAGCCATCTTCTTTTCGGCTGACAGCACCCGCCCAGAGGCTGAGTCGTCGCGGCGGCGGTGGAGATCGCAGGTCGCTCAGGTACTAGCGTCGGCCCGGATACTTCCAATGCCTTGCCTCTTTCGCCTTGTACACTTTCACCTTTCTGCTCGGAAATAAAAACTAGGGGTGCTTACCACTTGGCAGCACCGGGTGGTGGGGGTGTAAGCAATAGTTTAGGACCAATGGCATGCTGAGACATTTTGAGTGACAGCGACGGTGGCTTATGAAAACTGTGCATTGGTGTCAAGAGGCGGGCATAGGTTTCTTCTGTTTCTAGGCCATTCCTATAGAGGTCAACTTGGGACTTGGGAGTAGAGACACGATGTGGTCCTCAAAGAACGAAGGCAAACGGTGAAGGCTACTTTCTACAGTTTTATGTGTTGCTTTTGTGGTGGTTATTGTCTGATTGGGTGCCCAGGCACACGTTTTTTTTTTTTCGACATCCCAAAAATAAGAATCCAAATATATATGTGTGTGTGTGTGTGTGTGTGTGTGTGTGTGTGTATGTATGTGTGTGTATATATATATATATGTATGTATGTATATATGTATATATGTATATATGTATATATATATATATATATATATATATATATATATATATAGTTTAGGGTCACTGCTTTTTGCTAGTTGCTACAGGCGCCAATTGGACTATAAAATTGGTTAATGTTTTTCTGTGGCTAGTCTACACTTCCGACATGGTATATACTTAATACATATTGCTGTCCAGATAAAAACCCATATCAATTTGCACTTTCTGTTGGATATATTTTAAGTTTGTGTTATGTATTTACTAACTAATTAATGATTCTGGCTACATGGTTTACAAGCCAAACATTTATTTTAAGGACTCCCTGTGCTGTGGTCAAAACATTGCCTTTATTACTGCAATTGGATATAATTTGTTTTTCATTTCACATTTGCACTCCCTTTTTCCATTTATTTTAAGACAGGGTCTCCTATTTACTCCAGCCTAGCATAGAATTCACTGTGTAGCCCCGACTGTCCCCAGCTAGTAATCCTTCCAACCTGGCCTCCCAAGGCTGAGAACATGGATATGCAGCATCCCACTAAGCTCCCTTCCCTTTCCTTTAATGTTTGGAGTTTGGTACTAGAGAGAAACTTCCTATTACCTTTGTGAAAGTGGTTTACAAAATAGTCTTAGAATAAAGAATAAATAGATTTGTTCTTTTCAGGTTAATTCAGAAAGTCCATGTTTATAAAGTTTGTCTAAATGTACAATTATCTGAGTTACTTTATTAGTTATGTACTGCTGATTAATAGTTATTCCCAAATTTAATACAGCTTAAAACAGCAAACATGTTTTATCTTGGTTTCTTTGAGTAAAGAATTAGGGCAACATTTAACAGAGTAGTTCAGGTTGTTTCCTGAGGTATCAGTTAAGCTGTAGTTGGGAACTGTGATGTTATTGAAAGACTTCTTCGAGGTAGAGTAAGGATCTACTTTCAAGGGCATTCACATGGTTGCTGGTTGGCCTAGATTCTCTGCCAATTGGGTGCCTGTATGAAAGAATGGCAGTTGATTTCCCCTACCACAGACAATCCAGGAAAAGCATCCAAATTGAAGGAAGGTACCTGTAATTTGAAGTGATACCCTATCACTGTTAATACATAGTATTTGTTAGGAGTCTTACATCCAACCTACATTAGAGAGTCAGAGATAATACAGCCCCAAAGCTCAAGAGGCAATATCTCCAAAAGCCATTTTCAAGGCACTGGCACAGATACTGTGGCTGATAACTTTTAGCAGTTAAAATAGCTAATAAGTAAGAATAACTGAGGGGGAAAAAAGTCTGATTGTGAATATGTAAACCTGTACTAACACAGACCCTTCCTGAAAAATAGTTTTATATCGATTATCCTTAAGAGTATTATTTAATATTTCCTGAAGAATAGAGTGTCTGAAAGGAATGTTTGTGTTTTTAGAGTCTAGATATCACAACTGGAGATTGTGTATTTCTTAGCTAATGCCCTATTATACAGCTGGAATTGGGTTAAAATGAATGTATCAAAGATAGCTTTTTGAAAAGGGAAGCAGTTAGGAAAAGGCTAGGGGTGGGTACAGATAAAATGCAGGTCAGTAGCAAAATTTGTGTTAAACCCATGTGATCAAATAGGGGTGGGAGAAGTGTGTTTTGGAAATGTATTTTGAAATTTAAAAAAAAAAAAAGCACTAGATGGCATTTGTGAGTGGGAGCAGATAGTAGAATGAGCTATAACCCCCCCCCCATATTGCCACTTCTATCAGCCCAACAAGTGCTTTTTAGAGACCTCTCCTTAAATGAAGCCTAAATATTTTTAACTATACTGAAAAAAAACCCAATCCAAAAACAACAACAACAGAAAAAAAAAACACCACAGGATGAAGCAAGGTTTATTAATTTAAAGTAGCCCATTGAAAGAGGGAAAGGGTTTTAAGAAAAAGGGTGCACACCCAAGTATGGTCTTGGACTTTTGAAGACATAATTGTATTCAAGTGTCTTAACAATAACGACACATAATATTTTGATGGCCTTTAAAGTTATATTATTTGAGGGTTTTACAAAAGTAAATAAAACTGCTTTGAGTATACTTATATTTATCTAAGTAGCATTCCTTTAGTACTTAAGATGAATTAGTTTATGGTGTTTTGTATAGGTTAGAGTGTAATCAGATAAAAACATAGGTTAAAAAAAAAAAGTCAAAGTAACCCTGCTATCCATGGGTTACAAGAAAGTCAAAATGTGTTTTGCTTGTAAAGGTGATTCCTAATCTTGTCAGATTGCCTTTGATTCTCAGCAGTACAGATTGGCAGCTCTCTTCCCTTCTCTTCCCTTCCCTTCCCTTCCCTTCCCTTCCCTTCCCTTC